ATTCGTCCCAAGGTCCAAATGCGCTATTCTGAGGTACACTGTGCTCCCCAACGGTTTCCGTCACCGAAGAGGCATTGCGGAACAGACATTTCTCATACTGCCTCATTTTACAATATCACAATTCACACCCCACTAAGAGAAATGCCATTGAACTGCTTTTTGTTATGGCTATATTGCCTGTTAGGAGAGTCCAAACACACGCATAAAAGGAAATACCTCTGCGAATGGATACTCCAGTGACTGATGACCTGCCACAATGCTGCTATTGTGAACCTAAAGTCATCAGGGGCTGAATTCTCCCTAAGACTGACTACACTTTGCCCATACAACACAATGCAGTTCTATTTCTGTGGCCTGAAATTAATCTCCCAAGATGCTACATCATATCCTATCTAGGAAGTGAGTTCGGACGAAGCTCGAATTAGTACCACACTTATGCACTAACTGAACTTCGTTTCGGATTTCACAGTGGCATTTTGAAAACGTTATTGATACCGACTGGAGGTATATATCACTCCAATAAACTAAGTGCTCTATTTAAGTCAATTTTGCTGCAATATATGCCGGTCAGTGTATACACAATACAAACTGCCCATGTTTCAATGATATCAATACGGCCGATTCACAATAGTGCGCCACTAAGAGTTTGCACCATGTTGGCCAATCATAACGTGCAAAATTTGTCGACCCTTTCCAAACGCGCACTGGGTCGACAAATTTCGCGCACTTTGATTGGCCAATGCGTTGCAAACTTTAGGTAGCGCACTTTTGTGAAACAGCTGTATTGACAGAAAAATGAACAGTTCTGTGATTTGGAATCTGACAAGAATCTGCATAAAGGAAAGACAATGACAGAATAAAAAGTCTGACTTCACGTAAGACAAGTGCAAAGAGATGTAAACCATTTTGGGGCACTTCTGGCAATAGTTGGGGAAATTAGAATGACCAGAGGGATGATGGCCCTTCATTCTCTACTACTGTTCTATCTCAGGCTTGAAGCTTGTGTGGTTTGTGTGCCTGCCATTTTCTTACCAAGATCAACAGAGGGCAGTGTAACATGCTACAAAGGCTAACGTGTAACCTGGTGTTAGATGGATGGTAGCAAGCTTACACACTTACATGTTAGTTGTCTGAATAGGAATTCCTTTCCTTCATAAAGCCACTACCAAACCCTAAAACCAAAAAGCTCCTACATGGTTTGTTTTTTTAAATGAATAATTTATAAACTGGACTACAGCTTCCAAAAACCTTCACCATGCCGGAAATAATACTCCTAATTATAAACAGCAACTGCGTCTAATTATGCCTAATGAGCAACTTATGAATAATGCCCATTTAGGCAACGTGATTCGTATCAAGGGGTTACTTAAAAGGCAGAAACTGTTGGTGATATCAAAGCACTGGAGAAAAACAGTTCTCTACTTCATTCATGGAGCAAATAATCTTAATGTAGACAAACCTGGCTGAATCAAGCAAAGAATGAAGGTTGCAGTCAATCACAATTGCTTTCATTTTGCAGTATGGCAAATGTGTCTTACTCATTGTTTTCATTACTGGGGAAAAAACCTGCCCCAAAATTCCCCAAATTCGAATGGATTTAAGACAAAAATGTGTGTAGATTTTGAGAATACTGTGGGCAGGCTGGCTTTCAAAAATGATGTGCATTCAAACGGTGTGTTTTCAAGTATATTCAGCAAACTTTTCCTGGTTTTAATGAAAATGTGTTCTTTTTATCTTGATTATACAAGAGCACAGTTCTCTGCATAATGCATATATACATGCAAACAGGGCTGAAAATCTTTAAGCTGTGGGCTTAAATAAATCAAAACAAAATAAATCTTTAACAAAATGGGCTTTGTTGTGAGTAAATTGACTGCTGAATTTGCAGTTTCTGATCTGGAGACCTCCGACGGCAAACAAAAAAATATGCAAATGGTTTCAGGCGTATGTGCATACACGTGGCCTTTCAAATCGAATAATGTCCCAGGTTAGGGAGTGGTAGCCAGTACAGAGCTAGGCCTTCAATCTCATCACGGGCCCATATTTCTGCCCCAGCCTGCCCCGGGGTAACACACTGTATAATCACGTGGCAGGGAACACCACGCCATGATGCGGGCAACCTGCACATGCACACACTCATCACTGCCACATCACAGCCCACACTCGTCATACTCTGAATGGACGGCGCGATCAATATGCCAAATGGTCCTTCCAGTTGAGCGGGGCGAATATTTCATGAGCCGCAGATGCATATTCGAAGGCAGGGCTATATGAGTGTTAGTGGCAAAGACACTGAATGTTTAATTTGGGATTTCCTCTAGTCTCTGAAATGGTTGGCAATATTGCAAGACATACCACAAAGCTCATTTTAGGTAATGAAACAGATTTCTGGCAATGTTGCCACTCAGCAAAATTCAAACGAAACATTCTTTGTAAAGTCTAACCAAAATTTGATTGTGTAAAAGACGGCTTATCCTTTCAGTCTCCCATTCCTTTAAATTTGGGCAATTTATGAAGGACTTCAGAAACTGCTTGAAACAAAAAAATCAGAATATCTACGTAAAAAATCACACACACATCCAAAATAAAAAAATCCAATGAACTTTCTGCACAACAGGCCAGACACCCAGACACCCTCCAAACAAAGGCACAAAGGACCCCTACACACTTGACACAATTTCACAATCCAACAAAACAAATTCAAGCGTTTCAAACAATCTCTGGCGACTGGAGAGGCCCTCTCTCCATTTGGGCACACCTTGAATTGAGCAAGGGCAAACTATAAACACACAGGGCACCCAACTCTTTGTTTGTGTTTGGGATGGTGCCTGTGTGTGTGTGTGCTCGCACACATGCCAGAGGAGACCGAGGCCAGACAATGGCTGACCCCCTGCTCAAGTAATACAGGTCAATGTCTCGCTGGCCACAATGAAGGGATAACAATAATAACTACAGAGAAAAAGGGGAGGGGAGGAACAAACGACAGGTGGTGTGGGGATTACGCAGGTGCAACTAGAATCACAAAGGACAGGTGAGGCAAACAAAGAAGCTAACAACAATTTGTGGTTTTCAAACCCATTCTTTGTTCATTTTTTATTATTTTTTGGTTGAGGGGGGGGGTTCTGTTATTGTTTGCAACACCGGACCAATATGTAATAAACAACCTGTGGTTTGGTAGGGGGGAGACTTCAAGAGAAAAAGTTCTGGCTGCAGGTAAAATAACAGGTGCAAACCATGTCAAATTGAGTCAAATGGATCACACTGTGGCAAGACATGATGCCAACACCTTGAAAAGCTTCAATGTCGCTGGGAAGCAAGTGGTGAACGAGCCCTTGCCGAAGCAATTATGTTTGTGTGCAGAGGCTGAAAGCTTGGGCGATTTTCACTCATGGCATCGACAAGTGCTGAAGACTTCAATCAAAAAGAAGGTTGTGCAACAGCCAACCCAAATGCTGCAATTATTCAATTCAAATCAAGAAAAGTACAACTACACTCAAATTATCAAACACATTTCTGCCATAAAGGTGCCACTGACAGTTATGCTGCCTTTTCCCCATTACATATATCGGCAATTGCTGGTGCTACTCAAAACTGAATGGGTCAAACTGAAAATGACCAAAAGCCAAGACATTCATCCTCCTTTAACAAAAAATGAATTACAGTAAATGACCTGTACGTTAAATTTTCAGTATCCATTTAAACCTAAATCGAAGAGGCCACAATACCACTTCAACAGAAGCGATGACTTACTGCTTTATTCAAATGTCAGGGTTGAACATTCTACCTTCCCTCAAATCCAGACATGCCCAACAGGCAGGTCACAGACAAAATGCAAATTACAATGACCACAAAAAACCCACCACCATGGGACACACTAAAGTACTGGTGGAATACTTTGGATATTTATATCAATCCTGGGGCAGGTATCCATTAATAAATCACGATGGCAGATGTACAATAATGCACTCAAGCAGTGGTCATCTCTCACTACACTATTTCAACCACTTTACTGAGATGACCCAGAGATGCACCCATTGATGTACAGGTAGGGCCCAGTTAGTCTAGCTTCATACATTGTAAAGCTACTTGTCAGCTGCATAACAGGCCTGTAATTTAAGACCAGTATTATCAAAATAGGTGTTAACTTATGGCCTTCACTGGAATAATATACCACAATTTGGCTGATGCAAGTTGCCTGTTACATCAATTACTTGAGTTCCACTTCAGGGGAGAAGGGTCAAGCAAATCCAGGCCTGTCCTTGTGCAGTCCACAGTCACAACACAAGGACACTTTCTATGCAATGAAATAAATTACTCCCAGCATTTCTGAGGCTATCCCTGTCCTCACACTTTCTCCGACTGTAGTTGTCATAAAATTGAGTACTTTTTCTCTCTTTGGTGTCCCCCACTGCTGCAACTATCACACATACATAAATATTTCAATTAATGTTTTACCCTGAGAGGGGTAATTGATGTTCTGATCCAAGTCATCCAAATAGATTCTACATTCATCACAGTATGGCCACATAAAATGACAACACTTAATCAGGCGAACAATAGAGAGATACCAGCACAAATGTGCTGTCCGTGAATTTCCTGCGGGTACTTTGTGTACTCCTTCCCTGTTGAACAAAACCGGAAACAGTGAGAGTCCCGATAGACTGTAAATATTGAAAGGCTGATTATACACCTTTAAAGACAATACTACAGAAGACAAGGCCATCTATAAATAGCCCACTGATTCACTGATAGAAGCATGCAAATTGGCAATGACTGACTGGCTGGCTGGAGAGTGTGTCATATTATGCAAAGGAGGTATGATTCAGCCTGTCAGCCAATAAGAAGCTTCAGTGTGATGTGAGTCACTCTGGGGAATTGCTCAGTGCATTCGAACACAAGCATGCCAGGGATATGCGACTTTTGCAGTTCTTGTAAAGCACCTGCGCTTATCACTAAATCTGAAAGGGAGACTTTACAGCAAATGCTGAATACACTCACAGTTTCTGGAATCTGTACTGCATGATTTATTGTCTTCCTCATGGATGTACTTTCAACTCTAAACGCTTGATAGTAAATTCCAGGAGAGTATTTAGACAGAAAACCAGAAGTAGCTCAAACTAGGTATGCCTTAATGACAATTGAGGTGATATTTATAGCTTCAAAGTTAATATTGAAGGGGTGAGAAGGCTGCACTTATGAATGGCCCACAATCTGTGTATTGGAAATGAAGCATGGGCATGTGAGAGAGTCATCGGCAGAGCCGATCACAGCCACAAAAATCTAACGGTGCCAAATTTAATGCTGCAGTGTAGCTAAACCTAAAAAAAAAATAAAATAAAATTGGATGAGGAGCTGTCACTGACATTTTAGATAAAAACTGTTACAGGCAAATTTGAAAAATGTGGGGATATTTCAATTGAGGAACTGTTTAATCGGTTATAACATTTTAGAAAAAAATGACAAATAAATGATAAAGCTGGGGTGGGTGGTGAGAGACAGAAAGACTTACAACAGGAAGTTACTTAAAGAACATTAAAATGAACTGTAGATGTTTTGAATAACATTTCATTACAGCTTCCTCTGCCAATGGAACAATTTAACAGATATTTTGCCATATTCAAGCAGAGGGGCATTAAATGGTGTCCTGTGTGTTATCAGTTGATGCTACCAATTGTACCTTGATTTATAGGGCATTTCTTTCACTGCATGCAGACTAGATGGCAAGGCAGACCTGACATGGCACAGCGGAGAGATGAACACATGCGACCTGGTTCCGGACCCATCAACCCCCAGGGTCTGTTGAAATGCTCAATCTCCCCCAGTGCACTGACCTGGAAAAGACAAAGGCGGCACACCAGACATTGCAAATAGTAAACTGATAATGTAGCTGGCACAAAAAAGCCCATTTTCTCTATAGACACACTTACAGCCAAGCCCAAGCCAAATGTTGAGTTAATTGAATGGGACACCCAAATATTCCAGGAGGGAAGAAAATGGAGGCACAGATTTAGCCAAAGGGGACGTCCAACTAACAATTACCACCTCATTGACAGTGACTATAGTTTGCAACAGAACCATGCAGCTAAAGGCATGAAACACATGTGAATATGTATTTTTGTGAAATTTCTTGCAAATTTTGAACACTACCAAAGTGGCATATCCGTGATATTTGTTGGGGAAGTTATGTCCAAGGTTTCAAAGTCAATGATATTTTTTTGGGGGGGGAGGGAGGTGGGGCATGTTTTTTTATCAAATGCAGAGACTGCACTCAAGTACACTACATGTACATTGGAAAAATAAGACCAATCTTGAGATATAAGATAAGAAGGATGTATTCTAGAATAATGGCATTTTTCAAGGATAGGAATGTTCAACATCTTTTTGAGAAACCCAGACCCCTTCAATCCGCTGTTACTATGTTAGCAAACCTCAGTACAGCACTATGAAGGAGTCTGAAGGGGGTATCTCCATGAACATGCACACCTTTCCAAGGTCGTGCAGACACAATTTCTATCTCAAAATAAAAAATTCCATTCTTAATTGTAGGGTCAATCCATTGCTTTCATTTCTACACCACAAGCACTTATGGAAGGCCAAACTGGCTGAGGAAAAGGCACAATAATCCTGACTGTGGACCGGTTTGCCTTCCATGTCACCATGAGCGCAGATCTTAGACTTTCAGCACTGGTAAACATCATTTGGACCTTTTTTTTTGCCAAGTGCCTACAGCCATCATTCATTGGCTTGATGATTTCATTTGCCATGAAACGGTCCAAAATCTATCATAATTTTGCCATAAATGATAATTAACGGCATTTATCTTGACGGTTTAGTTTTGTACATACATTTACATGCGTAAAAAACTAAAGTGTGTAAATGCCCCATCATGCAGTCGTAAATAATTCAGTAGCTGTTTATATAATCAGCTTAATCCTGTTCTGCCTTTGGAAGATTGAGAATCAAATGACACATTTACCCATGTGGTCTCAGTATTTGTTTTGCCACAAAGCCACAAAGATAAATTACACAAATACTTAACCACATTCTCAATAAGATTTAGCACAAAATGAATACAATGTTGCAACCAACCCATGGCTTTTGAAATCTGTTTCACTTCTGTATTTTTACCCTGATCAATTCCTGTTCTGTACGGCCAACCTAGCTGACAACAAAGATTTTCACTGACAAATACAACTGTCTTAGTCTGGTCAAAAACAGCCTAGCAGGAAAGAAAACATAAAAAAACAGGGAGTCTGGCAGCCTGTCAACAATAAAGGACAGTTGAGGGTGGCTTTTGGTCCAATCATGCATGATGCAACATTTACAGGGGCTTTGTTTCCCTAGCCAACACAAAGAACCAGCAGTAACAACAGTTCCCACTGCTACACACTGCTCAGTGGGGTTGGGCTGACAAGTACTACACTAACACAGGCCTGAACACATGGGGGAAAGGATAACAGACAAAAGGCCTCCCATTCACCCTGTGTACATGTACATGGATTTCTGCAGGCACTCATGCATTCATAATGATGTCTGCTGGGCTGGGCTGTGCTCTGTGGGGCATTCAGGCGCTATGCCTATATTTGGATAATTTCTGGCACTGGCTCATATTTCATGCAATCAGAGCCCCCATCTGGGGGCTTCTCAGGTTACCAGCCCTAGACTTCCGACAGTCCTGCCTGCATTACAGGGTATTACGTGGTTCACAGGAAAACGCACAGTGTGCAGGGCCTCATCCGATGTCCAGGCTTGCTCACATCTCATCGGCATCATAAGGATCTGTGATGATTCATGCCAAAGGTGGCTCAAACAACTGTGGCAATTCTAGACTTGTCGAAATCCATTTGGCATGGGGGCAAACCAAATGTCACCCAAGGCTGGTTCGTGCTTGGTGAGAAAGCGAACATGATTTTGTGATATCAGATCAAATATTCCCGCAGCTAATTCGGAGAAGCTGAACACATTGAAGTCCAAGCAAATGTCACTGCAAATGTTTAGTGACATCAAATTCGCTTTGCTTTCCAATCCGCCTCAAGTGTGAACCAGCCTTTATGACTAATACTTCACTACAGACTTCATCCACGGTATTAAGACAGCTAGACATATTTGCTTCGTGGCAACATCATAACCAAGAAGCTGCGATGCTCACATCGTCCGGTAACCTGCAGTATTTCATTCATTGAGTGTCTCATGTGAGTTACAGCAAAGCCGAGTTGCTACTCATGCCTGACGCTCAAGCACATCTCAGGCTTTCTGGTACTCCAGTCCCCATTCAGCATGACAGGAGGGCCATTTTTCAGCCACCATTTCCAGTACGTGTAGGTCACAACCCAGCCTAAACTCCCTAACATTAATGATACTTCAGCCACAAACTTGGGCCGCTGGTGGCTCAACGGCCCTTGCTTGACACCAACACATGCCTAGTGGACTACGCCTTCACATCCTAATTTCTGGACCCTAAAATCTTTGTGTGCAAGAACATGCATTTTCTGCACATTGTTAACAACATACACCGATAGGTCAAAAGATATCAATTGAGGATAGCACAGAACACAGAGCAAAGAGCGTGCATGCACCTCTTGTCTTTAAATTCAACATGTGCTGGTTGTCCTTTTCAAATAATTCCCAAAGAAATTTTCCAGCCTTTTGGATTGGAATACCACTGCCATATAAGTGGTCGAAAAATTGAGCTGCAACTTACACACGATGGGAAAAATTATACCGTTGCTTATTATGTACTTCTTATAAATTTCAGTGCAGAATGTCAAGGCTGCGGCTGAAATGAACAGCTTCAGCTTGTCTACAGCTTTCAGACTCCATGGGTCTCAGGCCAACATGGATATCCTCCAATCACACTTGTCGTCTTCCTCGTATGACAACATGCATTAGGCTAACAATCCTACCAAATGCAATGCACAACAGACTTACTGAAGTCTAATCCAAGTGCATTATACATGTGCTTCAATCTTTGTGGCACGCGATCTAGCAGGCATCCCTAGCCCTGCACCACTGCCCACTGATCACACAAAGAAAAGTCTCCCAATTTTCCCCTCGTGGCACAGTCCAGGCATCCTGATTGCCGCCCGAGAGTAGACTTGCGCAAATCCAATTAGCGTGGAAGGGAAGCCCAGGTGAATAATTTCTGGAGACATTGGGTCGGATTTCAGTCAGTCAAATACTCTTATTAAATGCATTTGTGGTTTCGCCTCTAAATCCAATCATCCGTTAAGATGAGACAGTGGCATCCCAGAAAGCAACAATAGTCTGTCCTCTTTCTATTGCATTGTTGGCTCTTGGCCTATCAGGCGATAGCCTCCAGCAGGAATTAAATACATACATTTTTTAAATTATAATATATAAAATGGTAGACTGTGGTTTACTAGGTTGTTCAATTTACTTTGCTGGACTTGTATCTAGTTTTTATCCATACCCCAATTCATGTATAGCTTGACTGATAATTCAATACGTGTACTCTCAATAATATGTGAATAATTACATGCATCAGTAAAACAGGCAGTGCTTAAGGCAAAAAGTTATAAGGATAAAAACTATCATCCTCATGAATTTCAAGATTTGGTCCTCAAAACCTCACTTGACTCATTCAGAATACTGCACATGCAGAAACCTTTTTTATTTATAGCAGAAATCCAATTACAGTTCGTGGATGCTTCTAACTTGAGAAAAATTGAACCCTTTGTTTGCAAACTGAATATTTATATTGCTCTGCAGCTACGCAAGTCAAGATATCCTGTGACTCTCTGGAGAATTTTGTCAACAGAGGGCTCACTTTCCTATTTTCAGTGTCATAGCAGCAAAGTGTGAAAGGTCTGAATTTCTCATTCAGCTTTGCAATTGGTCTTTATATTATTCTATGTACAACATATTCATCCTACAAAATAACACAGAAATTTTTTTTTATTTGTGTTCAGTTGTATTTGGGGGTTCAAGATGGAGACGTCTGTCCGTCACAGAAATGGCTGGAACAAGTTAAAAGTTACTGTTCATCTTCTGCTTTTGTTTTCGCAGAATGTCAATTTCAAGTCTCAATTTCTCTGTTTCCAGCCACAATTTTTCCTTCTCTAATTGTAGAATATCAATGCGCAGTTCAGCCTCCCTCTCAGCATTAAGCCCCGTCCCTCTCTCGGACCGCTCGGACTGTGACGATCCCCGAAACTTCTTTCTGGCAGATTCCGAAGGCTGAATGGTCACCTGACCAAGCAAAGATGTAGGCTCTACAAATGAGGAGGGAACGCCGACACCAGGAGATGTGTGACTGATGGTTGCCACGGAAACAGGTGAGGTCACAGATGGGTGATTCAAGCTACCGGACGTTGGTGCAGCCAGTCGATGCGGGCTCGGATTTGATGGAGCAGAGTTCAAATGAGGGGAGAAGCGATTTCTGGCGCCAGTTGTTGTTAAACCAGTCGCATGACTGGCCTGGGCAGCATGTAAGGTGACAGCTGTAGATTGGATGTGAGGGGCTGGAGTCATACTGGGGTGACTGCTCGTGCTGGTCCAGAAAACTGCAGTCTGAGTGGGCACAGGCAGCGGTGGAGGTGAGGCATTTGGAATTGAGGATGTTGAGTAAGAAGATGCCTCGCAGGAATCCTCGATTACCAAGGGACTGGGACACTCTTCTTTCACACTGTCTTGTGGTGGTGTGCTCATCATCTCAGGTGTTATGTCATCAGGGGCGTCTGTGGTCTCGTCTACCACTTGATCCTCAACGATGTCAGAGCTGCTGGCATCTATGAAGACAAACTCCTCCCCGTCCTGCCGGTTCTGCAAGTCCTCGAATTTGAAGCCGCCGTGTAGCTCCAGGGCCCGACGGCTGATAGCTGGCATCACCACTGGAGGCAGTGTGGGATCCTGCTGGGCCCGCTTCCAGTCAAAGAAGTCACGCCGCCCCTGGCCCAGGAGGTTGTGCCACTTGCGCTTGACCTCCTCCACCGACCGCCGCACGGCTGGGTTCAGCTGGTTCAGCTGCTTGGTGATCTCCATCCAGCACTTGCTCTTCTCGTGGCAGCTCAGGAATGACGTCTCACGCGAGGCCAGGACAGCCTTGTGTTTTTCGTATGCGTCCAGTATGATGGTGTGCTCTGCGTCTGTCCAGTTTGGTTTGCGCTTTGGAACCCGATATCTTTCCATCATGACAACAGATGACACCAGAATTCAAAATGTGTAGCAGAACAATGCAAAATAAAAAGTGATCTTTCTTCAGTCTAATGAGAGTTTGGTGAAAGCCTCAGTCTGCATGTAGTCATTGCTGTGTGCAGGAGCCAATAAATTTACATGTATAATGATTAATCTCCCCACATGGCACATCTACTGTATTCTAATCACGCCTGTATTAGCTGTGCTAAAGCCAGACCTGGTCCCCTCAGCATGCATGCATCCTGTGCATGACACACAGTCAACTGACCAATCAGGGCCCAGCCTCAGTGGCCTGATCATTACCCTCCAGCCAATGCTTAATCAAGAATGGCACCCAGCCTGCATGCATTGTTAAAGAGGATTTGCTGAGCCAAGTAAAGGCATACATTATGGGAGGGTTGGGTGCGTGCCTGTGTGGTGTACAATGTACATGTACACGTATACACATACAAAGGCCACAGACATGGTGTGCACTCTTTATACAGGCCTATGGTCTAAATCTAAGCTTTACAGTAAACAGCGTATTCATCATGTAATGTGTAGTGTGGAATTCCGGTGTGAAAAGGTTATCAGATAAAAGCAGTGAAAAAAGTTCCTGATTTATGAAAGGAATATGAGCATTGGCCTGGAAAGATCTTTTCCTCAAATGATATTGAAATAGACAGTGATATTTAATGACCCAACAATGAGATGGAAACACAGCTGAAGTGGCCTAGGCTTAATCTACAGTAATTGTTCATTTTTACAAAATCCAGAGTCCTTTTAATTAGAAGAGAAATCCCAGCCTGAGGGCTTTTTCTTTATGTCATTCAAAAGGCTTACAACTGATTTAAACCGAAGTCTGCCAATACTGGCAGGAAGAGATCTCAAATGGGGAACAAGGCCTGTCTTATTTAAAAAACAAAAACAAACAAACAAACAAAAGCAACGTACTGCATTTAAAACAACCGACCCCGCTAGATGATGAAAGAGACGGGTGGATTGATGAATTCTTGTGACAGGGGTGTTTATTGGATGTGCCTTACCATACTAGAGGAACGGGTTAATTAAATAAAATGCTGAATAACATGGAAGCATCAGTAAAAACTCCGACGTGGATGACGCTTGTGTGTCATACTCTGAATGTAATAAAAAACACATGAAAAAAACAACAAACAAAAGATGCAAAAAGATCAGCATATGTGCCATTCTGACTGCAAGTTTCAAAAGGGGTGTGAAGAATTGAACACCTTTAACATTTCAGCACAACTGAGGAAAGTACACGATGTAGTGAATGTTCCAGGGTAAAGAGAAGAAAAATTACCTTTTGAAAGTCCAAGCCTCAAAGGACAGAAATAATTGCACTCTGATTTGAATGTCAAACAAGCAACTTCGGGAACTAGAATGGTTTTTTTTTTCAGTCAAGCAGGTTGGAGTTCAACCAAAGGCAAGATAAGGACAGCTCTGGTACAGTTGTCAGACGCACAGGTCGGAACCAACCAGACTCTTAGACTGAGCTAACTCCAGGGATTTTCTATTGATTTTAATAATGAGAAGTCTGTGAAAAGATTTCTTTAGGTTCCTCCATCACAAGAACCATTCCCTGACCCATACAACCATTTGTACACTGTATAGATCTGTAGAGTTGGTTACTAGCTTAGGAAAGCCCTTTTATTCTGCGCGTGCCATCCTACGAATTCCTGGGGTTCATGGGTAGCTGAATATCCTTGTATTAGTTTTTTATGTCATGTTTTGTTACTTTTTATAGAATTTTCGTTGGTTTTTTTTTTTTCAATTGAGGTTGAATAAATGGCAGCAATGAGACAAAAGTCTGTTGGCACATGACACAGGCTTGGGTGACAACTGAGGTGACACTGATTTGATCACTTATCCCCTCAAGTTTCCCACTTTCACCCTCTGTCAAAGAGGAGGGGGACTCTCTTAACTGAGGCAGATGAAGATTGTGTTCAACTAAATAATCATATTCCTGGACTTTTAGTGAGCAGATAAAAACAGACAAAACACACACAAGACCTTATGCATCAGAGGGCAATGGCAATTCCAAAAGAGTTTGTCATTCAGCTACTGAGTTCATTATTAAATTGAAATTCATGAACAAAAATAACGTTTCAAAAAAATTCCAGTGGAAATGCTGTGTGGGTACTATTACCTTTTATTTTCACTTTTCCCTTCGTGAAAAAAAAATCTTTACGATTATGAATTACAAATCATTATGACCTCTGGTGATGGAATGATGAATTTCCACTTTGGCATGCGTTTCCCTAAAGGATGATGTTTTCATTGGCTAAATGTTAGCACAGGACTGGATGAATTTTATGACAAGTTAGAGCAGTTCTGCAAGGAATGGGGTGATGTCAGTCATCAGCCATGCCACGTCTTTTTCTTCTTTTCAGTTCCTGGTGGAGTATTTTTTCCCTGCATTGATTTATTCTGGAACAACTGGAGGGCAGTTTCCACAATAAGAAACACATTAGGAAGCACTTATCTTCTCCAGTTGCACTGCATTGGGACAGGCCTGCTTTGTGACAGGGAAATTCAGACAATCATTTGAACAGTCCAGACCGCAGTACAGGAAATAAGAACTTGTTCAGATGGGGGAAAATGGCAAGGTGATATTTCAGGGTATTCCTAAGACACTTCCGGGAAAAATGAAATATTGACTCGCAAAGTTGAGCCCTACAAACACAAAGCTTGTTGCTGTGGGTAATTTTTTTCTCATCACTGAACTCAACCTGTGAAACGGCAGAAAGGGAAATGGGGAGCGGCTATAGGCCTAAGTCATTACTATTGTGATTTTATGTAATGACGACCTTGAAAGGCTTGAGGAACCTGAATTTCTATGCATTCAGTCCGGACAATAAACCTGAATATTTGAATGTGAAAAGGTGTGTGTTAGCCTTTATACATGTACCAAAATGAGTAATGGATGTTCAGTTCAACCGATTCGTGCCCTTGGCACATCTTTGAGCTATGGAGCAAAATTTAACTGCTTTTCGCCTGGATTTTTTGAAACTTTGTTTCACACATGTGAAGTTGGGTTGGGAGGGGAGTTCAATGTCCATGCATGCTTTTTCATGAACAGGCAAAACGATCTGTACATGTACATCACGCACCCAGTCGCAAATCTTCAGACCTAATAGTCCCCCCTTCAAATTTTGTGGCCAGCGCTTCATAGCAAAAACCTCTTACCCAGAACATAGAGCTACTTAGCTCTATGCCCAGAATATGTCTAACTTTTCTACTAGTATCTCTCCTGGGTAATGACAAATCCCCCAACATGTAATACACTCCCCTTCTGCCAATGGGAGATACCATGACCAAATGGCCCCCAGCATGACTCATAAGCCCCACAGCTGCATAGGCACTCCACTGTGTGATTTATGAGCTACCCTGCCCCGAGTGTTGAGAGCAGTTTCATGTTCCTGATCCCCTCACAATGGGGCCCTGTGTGAGCTGCTAAAAAAGGAATGACATCACCCCACTGGCCTGAAAGGGGCAAGGCAGGTTCCACATTATTCTGAAACTACATGTAGAATGGTTTGGAATTGGCTGTAAACAGTAATCAAAGAGTCAATAGCAGGGCCTTAATTGACTGAACTTGGCTTTATGAAGTATGATCAAAACAAACAACAATGGGTTAGGTTTATTCAATGATAGAGGAAGGGGATCTAGGAAGAAAAAATGGGTAAAGCATCTCCCCACTGAAAAACAGGTGAAACCTGTTCTAGCACCCTAGTTACCCTTTACATGTATGTATTGGAATTCACCTGAAATGAACAAAGTTTTCTTTTTTTTATGAATAGCCATAAACTTAGATAGTGTTAAGAGTTACCCGGTTCTATGTACATGTACATATACTTTGCACATGTCATTTTAGGGAATGTCACATTCGTTACAACCCCCCCAAAAAAAATCCAATGGTCTAAAGCCCCCCCCCAAAAAAACCAACTGTGTTTTACACCGTCAGTATTTTCAAGAATGCAATCTATCTAAAGGAGACATACCTGTAAGTTCTAAGGAATAGGGCCACTGCAACAAGCCAGTGGAAAAAATTCAACATAACACACGATATGGAATGTCCAAAACACATAACAAATTTTAACATCCAAATAAAAACACTGACTTGAAAAAGAATGTCTTTCCCTTGCAACACCCACCTCTACACAAATACCTTGGCCTACTTTAAAATCCAAAGCGTCTATTACACTCAGCACAATGAAAAGACCTAGATTCATTTATGTGTATCCACATGCTCAAACATTTTTCGGCCTTGCTGTTGCAAATCACCATAGCAACCGGACTGTTTAATCTGGGGCTAGCCTTTTCTCTCCCCCCCCCAAAAAAAAATTTGGCATCCAAATTGTTAACCCACAAATGCACTGGATTGATGGACAAGGAGAGAGTAGTCATCAAAGAGACGCTCAGCGGCACACACCATGAGTACCCTTCTGGTGCAACAGATACCCAATGAGCAACCTCTGAGGCAACAATCCCGCAACGCTCTTTGATGGAGCAAATGTCCGCAGAGAGGCAATGGAAGCATTACAGGGGTTTTTGAGCATCACAACAAACACGGCGTGCAAACTTGGCCGCGACGGCGCAGACCAATGACTGCCGCCAAGGGACAAAAAGAATTCACCGCTCCATGAACCGTCACATAATGGGGAAGCAAACACTATCCGGACGGCCAGACAAACAGTCAAGTGCTCCAATTGTAAAGGAGACAACAACGAGATCTCCTGACCACAATCTGAGCATTTTCTAGCAAATGCATTACAGTCTGGAATTTCAACTGTAACAGTGGCAGGGGTAATGTCAACATTTCGGAAACCTGTTTTCCTTTCGACGCTTCTGTTGGCAAATACTTTCAAAATGACATCGCTTAGGCTGTAGAAACTTCTGTTGGTTTCAATCTCACTTTTGGATCTAAAAATATCCGTCCAAGACATTAATCACCAGCAAATCATAGACAGTGTGTAGTAAAATGAAAAAAAAAAAAAAGGAGGGAAAAAAGCACATGTACAGGCCTGCAGGTTGGTGACGGATGGGAAAACCCGTTACTCTTTGTACACTCTCACTTCTAAAATCACATTCACAGAGCTAAATAAAGCACAGGTGCATCAACACATCTGGTATCAAATTGATTACACAATTTAAACTGAACAGAGGTTCATCTATGGTCAACAGACTAATATGGAAACCAGAATTGGAAGCCATTTGTGTTGGAACACATTCAAAACCAAGGACACACACAGCATAAATCAACACTTTTTCCTATAGGGTCTTTATACCATACAGCCATTAAACACAAGGAGTTATAACTAAGTCCCCACAGACTTTAATCTGATTAACTGCTCTGGTCAGCTCCATAGACAAAGCAGGTTACTGGCCAAAGTGTTTATGACCCTAGACATTCTTTGTACAGTGATGGCCATCCCGTTTGCTGGTAACCCATGAATCTTCCCATGTTTTTGTATGTTTTTTTCAATTTCTGCTGGACTAGCTACATTCTTTCAGTTTTCTTGTCAAGAGAGACGTTTGTGCTGTAAAGAGGGAGGCTAACCAGGCTTTCATTTTCATTTACAACGGAATATCAGAACAATCACTGACATTATCAAAATTTAAATCTCTGATGACAGTGGTTTCAACCCAGGAGGATTGTGCAACTGTTCAGGTGGCCCCTAATCAAAGCAGAATGCAAGAGTATACCCAATAATTTGTAGTTCTCATGCTTTTGCAGCCGCTGGTCCCCCCAACACTATCCTGGTTCTTATCAACAGAAAGGCTCCTTGTTATTTTCCAAAACCACAGCGGCCCATAGCTCCAAACTGTCCCAATTTGGTGGGATGGTAGCTATGGCAACTGCATTCCAGAGTTTAGAGGGGGGTGTTAGTGGACTAGAAGTCCCTGACCGACCTAGGTGGTCAATGTTTTATGGTCAAATAATGTACTGGGTTACCTTGGATTTTTTTTTCTGGAGGGAATTTCAGAACAGTAGCCTTCTGTCAAGTTGGACTTCTTTTAAGCTTTATGAGGATGAAACAGGAGCATTCTTTCACAGTTGCCCAAATGGCCATCAATGTCAAACATTTCTGTTAGGGAACTGATATTTTTCACAACAAAAGGCTTTGTTATAAATTTCCTGATAAGACACCAAGGCAGACTTAAGCCTCTGCAAAATGCTATGGCATTATCACATGGTGAGGTAAACAGAGACGTCTGGGTCTTTTCAGGCATGCCACACAGCGCCTCAGCTTTTTTTTTAGCACAGCAAGAAATACTCCAGATTGGGAAACATGTGGAGTGCAACTAAGCTAAATGTATTCATTTTAGCTGCTGGTTTCATAGCACTAAATGCCACACAAAACACACACAAAATTGAAATCCCTCTGTACAGTGGCTGATGTACACTCAAAAGTGACATACATGTAGGCTTTCATGTACAGCTTGCACCGGCCATCTTGATTCTGTGTGAAAAAAATCTCCACCAGAAGTCACACAGTACCAAAAGTTTCATTTCCTTCATTCCCCCTAATAATTGGGTTGCCTTCACACGCCCCAGGGACCCATTACATAATGTTGACCTCAGCCCATCTAGCCCCCCCTGTTTTGTTTTTTCGGGTTTTTTTTTTTATCCTGCCAGCTAGACCACTCCCTAAGCCAGCCAGACATGCCAATGGTGTAGACAATCCCCTGCCTGGCCTGGTATTATATTGTCCAGTATAATTAACACCAGTCCCATCTGCTGTCTGCAAGCAGGGCTTACAGAATGGTGTGGAGGTTGCAATGCACAGCTGTGGCATAGAGCAAAGGCTGTAAAGAAGCTTCATGGTCTCATTTGAACATGATTCATTGGGGACAATGTATGTAGTTTCAACCCGTACAAGTAATACATGTATTTCCTGTTCATCTGTGGTTCATATTCATACACATTTTCAATTCAGGATCCAAATCATTTATTTTTCTCCTATCTCAGAACTGAAATTTATATACAAAGAAATTTAAGAAATCCAGATGAGATTTAATCTTTTCTAAAAAAAATACTGTCAGGGACTTGGGCTACACAGCTCCATGCTCAAATGTACATGTAAGTGCTATGACGCCCATGTCAGTGACGTGCAACCTTGCACTGCTCAAATACAAGGAAGCTACATGCATCAACAAAAAAAATGTTTGTATTTAGTCTCCATGCATTCCGGTGAGCTCTCTACATTGACTAGCATTCTGCTTTGTACAATAAAACATGTCATGATCAATACATGTGTCAACCTGGAAAATTCTTTTTAAAATCTACAACCTGTCCTTCTGAGTCCGAGTACATGTCTGAACTGATCAACAGTACTCCAAGATCTCCATCTGGAACATGTTCAAACCCAAATAAATATTGCTCTTATCGATCTAGAGAACAATGTATGAATTCTTCTAGTCAGTAACAAACACAGGAGGCACAGGTGTGGGACATCAACATTACATGCAACATAAGCAGCCGTCAGAATGCTGCGGTTTTACTCTCCCGCCCCCCCCTCCACCAGGACAAAACATCTTGAATTGTGTTAGGCTTTGGGCATCAATGCAAGAAATCACACAGACCTGGATTCAATCTTCACTGAGACCTGATAAGAGGGGAGTGGGACCGTCTCGTCAGCCTCCACTGCCCATAACTTTTAGGGCCGTCCCCCTGCCCGATCATCATCCTGCTTTTAGTTCTAAACCACAGACACACCTGTGATCCTTTCTCTCATATTTGTTTATCAGGAATGTTCTGCTGTCAATACATTTATAAGCAAAATCCAAGACATTTACTTTACAAGCCCATTTGACAAACACCAAATGGCACTCTGTACAAGGAAAGGGGGTACTGTAAGCAGGGTTGTTTCTTAAGGAGTGTGCATCAAAGGTCTCAGGATAATGCAAACAAGTTCAGTCAATTGAGCACAACTTCTCTGAGCTTTATCAACTGAGTGGAATAGCAGCTACGAGTACGTACAAAATTGGCCTTAAACAAAAACATGTAGGCCCTATTCAAAACCCAAGTATGGACGACTAACACGTTTCATATTTCTGTTTCGTATGTTTCCTTAATCCCTTTTGCTGCATCAAATTAGCGAGCCTGAGCTAAAAATCAAGAAGAGCCAAGGGCTGTCAGCAGAGACAACCCCTGGAGGAATGAAAGTTTATTCAAACGGCCCAAGGCATGATGATTTAGGAGAACACCAACAAGAAGACAGCCAAGGACAAACAGATTATCTCTATCAGGTCCCCAAGACGAAAGCTGAATAGATCCAGACATGCCGGAAGCAATCTTTCCACATGGAGTGATTGCTCTATGTGTGATAACTGGTTTGCCATTGAAACCAACTTTGGAGGACCAGGTGACAAAATTAAATCTCCCAGGGAGAAAAATGGGTGATAATGGAGTTAACAGCAGTATCCCTGGAAGGACAACAGTCATTACTGAACACCTTGCTTGCTCTCCATCCCCAAACCAGGGACCAATTTCAGAGAGTTGCTTAGCCGCAAACCTTGCTTAGCAGATTTGCAGGCTGAAACAGAAATTGCCAGAGTACCAGTTACCAGCAATACACATACCCTCATTTTTCGGCTGGCAACCTGCTGATTTTTTACTTAAGCAAGTATTTTTGGGGGCTGAGCAATTTTGCCCAGCTTACAATTGCAGGCCCCTGCAAGCACCCACCACCACCACCGGGTGGCAGTCTTGCACAGCATGAGGCTACAGACAGACACCGGCTCTCTTCCAGACCAATCTCAATACAAGGACACAGCACAAGATTTACAGATATCCCACACAAGCTTTGAGTTAAACCTCCAGGGCCATGACACCTAATGGGGCTTGATTTCTCTCCTTTCCCAACTTGTGAATTCCCACCACACACACACACCGTTTAGTTTTCCTTGCCCCCAAATTTCTAAAAGGTTCAGTCACCACTGCTAAACCAAGTGTGCTTCTAGGTTGAAAAAAATGAGGGAGGCAGAAAGGGGACCCTGACAAACAGGAAGGCAACTCGTTACTGAGGACCCAGCATGACGACACAATAACTGAAACATGAACTGTCTGAAATCTTGGGTGGCAGTTACAAATGACTGTTGAAAGCATGTTAAAACAATTTTCAGGAAAGATTAGTGGCCTACAGTACTGATCAGGGGTTGTAATCCTTCTCACTTATTTCCACCTGCTAGTGACGCCATCGTATAACTGTTAAACTTGAATGAACTCTATGTCACCATTTTAAGACCGATCATAAAACAAACTATATAGGGAAACTGACTAGGTGCGTACAAATGATTATAAAGATGAACCAAGAATTCGACTGGAGCAGGATTTGAACCTGCGACCTCCGACATACTGTACCGGTACTCTAACAACTGAGCTCTCCAGCCCTACATTGGTGGCTCTTCCCATTTGTCAGTATCTCTGTTCAGGGGGGCTTGTCAGAAACCACGTAACCTGAAACACCTTATAGCCAGAGATCACGCCCCAATTACACAATACAACCTGGGACGGGGTGAACAGGGGTTACTTGGGGAGGATTTGGCTTTATTAAACTCAAATTATTAAACAAACTATATAGGGTAACTGGCTAGGTACATACAAATGATTATAAAGATGAACAAAGTAACTGACTGAAGGGGGAAGACCTGTTTGAAAAAAGAGATAATGCGGCAAAATACAGACAGGTATCTAGACTTTAACAAGCTCTCTCCTACCTTTTCTCCTAAGCTTTTCTTACTGGGCGCCGCTGATGTTGGCCAGCCAGCCCGTCTTCAGAGAGCCAAACTTGGAGTAGAGGGAAGAGGGGGCGGTGCGAGACTTGTGCAGCACGGGAGGTGGGGAAGACGGGTCCTGAGGTAGAGCCACTGGGGATGCCGGCTATGAGCAAGATAACAGATAAGGGATGAGTTACGCCCATGTCCAAAGTCAAGAGAAAAAACTGTACACTACTCGTCAAGGGGAATGGGTGCAAATAGGTTTTTCACCGGGGGGTGTCTGGACGAGTTTGGGACACACTATACTTTCATCTCCAGAACTGCACTGACAAAGAAGCCATGTCCAAACCAAATGGAAGAATCCAGGACTTTTTACTAATGTTTCTGCAGCAACAAAGGACCCGTAGTGAACCGGCCTTCAAGCTTGGATCTCAGACCACGCAGTTTGAGAAACTAAAAAATGGCCGAATTTCCGCTTCCTAGTTTGTGTATGAACATGAACAATCAAGCCAGCCTTGATAAGGAACCATCGGTTGATTAGCAATACTTTTGTGCAGTCTACTTACCTGGGGTAGGGGTCTAGGAAGAGACCTCTGCAGCGACTGTGACGAGGTCGTGCTGAGAGGCAACAAGGTAAAACGTCCCTGGCTGCTGGCCAAGGGTAGCACATTATGCTGCTCCTGGTATCCTGATGGCACGGCGCGATGGGAGGAGTACATGTGCTTGTCTGGGCTGGCTAAGGCACCCAACAGCATCTGTAGGCAGGATGAACCCCAACAATCTCACACACTACCCAAAAAAATGAGGACTTGGCCTACTTTAGCTAGTTTTTAAAGACGGTTTTCTTGTAAGTTGGTTCTATAAAAAGTTGCCATCAGGTTAAAGCTGCGTTTAAAAACTGTGTTTATGTATACTTCATGCAGTCACATGTCTGATCTAGGACTATCTAACTTCTTGAAGTGAGAGACATAACCTAGGATGTCCCCGGTTGCTGGGCAATAGTATGACGGTCATGGAATAACTTGGATATCCTGTATGTAAGACTAGGAGGGTATGTAACATAACCTGCAACATATTCCAGTTGCTGGGCTGTAAAGTGAGAGACATAACTCAGGATGTCCCCAGTTGCTGGGCAACAGTATGACGGTCATGGAATAACTTGGATATCCTGTAAGACTAGGAAGGTATGTAACATAACCTGCAACATATTCCAGTTGCTGGGCTCTAAAGTGAGAGACATAACCTAGGATGTCCCCAGTTGCCAGGCAACGAAGATGTGTGACATAACCTGAAATATCTACGATGGAAAACTAGGAAGGTGTGTGATATAGCCTGGGATATCCCCCACTGCTAGGGCATGACGGTTTGAGATTATGAAGAGGTGAGCTACAGCCTGAGATGTTTCCAAAGAGCAGGGTGGATCAGTGAGCTACAATCACGATTGCTGGAGCCGGCCCATCCGACATACCGTGCATCTCTGTGTATGCCTACTGAGGTTGGTCTGTAGATGAGGCAGGAAGACGTCCAGGTCAAAAGGATCGATGGTGTTCTCCAGCCGGTCAACAAGCTTCTGGACATTATCTTTGTGAGTGGAATTCTTCTGCCGAAATAATAAGAGTTCTTTTATTTCTCTCAAATCTTTTTACAATTATCAGAAAAGAAACAGACTGATTTAGAAATAAAGGGCTGGGGTCAAGAGGGTCATAGTTTGTCAAACCTTTTTTTACATCATCCTAGCAAGTATATTGAAATGCGAGCAATGGACCGATTCATTATTGCCAAAAAAAGCCAGATCATCAACGAACAAATCACCTGATGTCACACCAGCTGATAACCAATCAATCGGATAAATATCTCTCTTTCGTAAATCCAATTCAATGTTGCACATGTGGAACTCTGGCAGCAACATCGTGCCAGCACATGCGAATGGGGTACGAGCCAATTGGGGATTTCAAAGGGGCACAGCAACTTGAGAACGAAGCTGCAGAGGTCATGCAAGCTTGAACATGTTCAGTCCATGTGAACAGGTGTATGGCAACTGTTGGATGATTGGAATCATTTTCGGGTCAAAAAGAGGGCCCAGTGTATTCTTGAGGACAAGTTTCATCTGGCACACCATCATTTCCACCTCATGCCATCAAAAACTGCTATTGTTCAATTAAGTCCTGTTCCAATCACAAATTATTACGTTTTTATCCCACAGCGGCTCACATTCTTAACGACAGCTTTTGGGAATGTATTAAAGCCCAAATGCTGGTTTTTTGGTTCACAATTTATACTGCTTACCAGTTATGTCACACCTGGGCCCTTTTCATCGTCTGTTTTAGATATTAATCTATGTTGTATACCTTTCTGAATTGTTGAACATTTCAATGTACATATTTTGTGCGTAACTTTGTCACTGTGATATTTTAATGGATTTTTAACAATTTTAGACACACAAAAAACGAAACATTTCACAAGGTGACAAAAAACAAAATAATGATAATAGGGTTGCCTTTACATGTACATATTGACGTTCTCAAATGACCTGTGATGCCGTTCTTGTGTGCAAGCACTGTTACAACACCGAACTAGCTTACTATTTGTAGCTGTTCTATCAACCATTATCAGGGGACCGGGGAAAAGACGGGGGAAGCATGGGATTGCAAGTCGTGATCTCACCTTGGCATCCTCCCCACGACCAGACATGATGGCAGCCACAAAGCGGACGTCAAAGAGCAGTTGCAAGGCCTGTGACTGGGACAGGGCCAGGCGATCCGCCTGGCTGCGGTGCTCATCAAGGTGCTTCTTGTACAGGGCAAGGATGCCGCTGCTGGTCTCCTGGATCAGTCCAGAGAGGATGGAGCTGTGGGGAGAAGGGGCAAGGATGGGTAGTGAGGAGACAAGAATGGACGGACAGGGCAAGGATGGGCAGAAAGGGGGTAAGGATGGACGGACAGGGATAAGGATGGGCAGAAAGGAGGCAAGGATGGACGGACAGGGATAAGGATGGGCAGAAAGGGGGTAAGGATGGGCAGAAAGGGGGCAAGGATGGGCAGAAAGGGGGCAAGGATGGACGGACAGGGATAAGGATGGGCAGAAAGGAGGCAAGGATGGACGGACAGGGATAAGGATGGGCAGAAAGGGGGTAAGGATGGACGGACAGGGATAAGGATGGGCAGAAAGGAGGCAAGG